AGTGAGGAGAGCATCAATGGGAATGGTCTTTACACCCCATTAAATGGTGAGGCCAATGAAAGCGGTAAGCTTGATCCTCTTACTCCATTAGCCAAAGCTGGATTGTTGGGTAAAATTTCGTTTTGGTGGATGAATCCTTTAATGAAAAGAGGGAAGAAGAAGACTCTCAACTGTGAAGATATACCGATGATGCGCAAGGAGGATCGAGCTGAAAGTTGTTACTCACAGTTCGTAAACCAAATGAATGAGCACAAAAGAAAAGAGCAAAGTTCCCAACCATCAGTCCTCAAAGTCATCCTTTCATGCCATCGGAGGGACATATTCTTGTCTGGATTCTTCGCTTTGTTGAAGATACTCTTTGTCTCTGCTGGTCCTCTGCTTCTTAATGCCTTCATTTTGGTCGCCCAGGGACAGCAAAGCTTCAAATATGAAGGTCTTGTGCTTGCCATTTCACTTTTCTTCTCAAAAAGCATCGAATCCATATCACAAAGGCAATGGTACTTCAGAGCCAGGCTTGTTGGTCTTAAAGTCAGGTCTTTGCTCTCAGCTGCCATTTACAAGAAGCAATTGCGATTGTCCAATGAAGCTAAGTTGATGCACTCGAGTGGCGAAATCATGAACTACGTCACGGTTGACGCGTATAGGATCGGAGAATTCTCATTTTGGTTCCATCAAACTTGGACCACGAGTGTTCAGCTCTGCATTGCACTTCTGATCCTCTACAAAGCAGTGGGAATAGCAGCCATTGCCTCCTTCATCGTGATAGTTCTATGCGTAGTTGGCAATACTCCAATTGCCAAGCTACAACATAAGTTTCAGAGTAAATTAATGGCAGCACAAGACGAGAGATTGAAAACGTTCACTGAGGCTCTTGTAAACATGAAAGTCTTGAAGTTATATGCTTGGGAAACCCATTTCAAGAATGTAATTGAGAAGCTAAGAAAGGAGGAGCACAAGTGGTTGTCAGCCGTGCAATATCGAAAGGGATATAATGGCATTCTCTTTTGGTCATCTCCTGTTATTGTCTCTATTGCAACCTTTGGAGCTTGTAGCTTTTTGAACATACCGCTACATGCCAATAATGTCTTCACTTTTGTATCAGCATTGCGTCTTGTTCAAGAACCTGTTAGATCCATGGGGGATGTCATTGCGGCGATCATTCAAGCAAGGGTCTCATTTACACGGATTGTTAACTTCCTGGAGGCACCTGAGCTGCAAAGTTCAAGTGTTTGTAGAAAGCAAATGAAGATGAATGATGACTGCTCCATTCGGATCAGCTCAGCATCTTTCTCATGGGAAGAGAGTTCAATGAAGCCTACTCTTCATAACATTAATCTAGAGGTCAGGCCAGGTTCAAAGCTTGCAATTTGTGGAGAAGTTGGCTCAGGAAAATCAACTCTTCTAGCAGCCATTCTTGGTGAAATTCCAAATGTCGAGGGAAATGTAAGTTATATCACTATATTTCATAGCTGAATTCATGATGATATGATTTAAATGGCCCTCTAAATTCATTTCACAGATTGAAGTTCATGGAAGGATTGCTTATGTGTCTCAATCAGCATGGATCCAAACAGGGTCCATTCGAGATAACATTTTATTCGGCTCTGAAATGGAGAATTGGAGATATCAAGAAACACTCGAGAAGTGTTCATTGGTGAAGGATCTTGAGTTACTCCCTTATGGTGATCTCACTGAGATTGGGGAAAGAGGAGTAAATCTCAGCGGTGGACAAAAGCAGAGGATTCAACTCGCACGAGCACTGTATCAAAATGCCGATGTATATCTTTTGGATGATCCGTTTAGTGCTGTTGATGCTCATACTGCCACAAGTTTGTTCAATGTAATTCACAAATTCTCAATCTTTTTCATTTTCCTTTCTAATTGCTCAAACAGAATCAAAAGCTAATTGGGTCCATGTCAGGGATATGTTGTGGAAGCTCTCTCGGGAAAAACAGTTCTTCTTGTGACTCATCAAGTTGATTTCCTGCCTGCTTTTGATTCTGTCCTGGTAGGTTCATAGCAACTTATCCAAACATGTTTTTTACAAAATTTAGCTGCTTTGCTCCTCGTACTCTGTTTTGAATCAAGATTGAGCTATTTGAATGCTCATTTCTAACATCCAAATTTGTGATTGCCACCGGCAGCTGATGTCCGACGGGGAAATTCTAGAAGCGGGCCCTTACGATCAGTTGTTGGCACATAGCAAAGAATTTCAGGACCTTGTCAATGCACACAAAGAGACTGCTGGTACTGAAAGGCTTGGAGATTTCTCTGCTATCAAGAGCTTAAGAACATCTTGTAAAGAGATCAAGACATCTTATATAGAGAAGCTGTCTGTAGCAGCATCTGATGATGCTAATCAGTTAATCAAGCAGGAGGAACGCGAAGTGGGGGACTCTGGATTCAAGCCTTATATTCAGTATCTGAATCAGAACAAAGGGTTCTTATTCTTTTCCTTGGATGCTCTCTCCCATTTAGCATTTGTGGCATGTGGGATAACGCAAAACTCTTGGATGGCTTCCAACATTGACAGTCCCAATGTCAGCAACACACGCTTGATCGTAGTTTACTTGTTGATTGGAGTTTCTTCTATATCATTCTTGGTTGCTAGATCAGTTTTAACAGCTCTTTTGGGATTGCAATCATCAAAATCATTGTTTTCTCAGCTACTCACGTCTCTTTTTCGCTCGCCGATGTCCTTCTATGATTCCACACCTCTTGGAAGGATACTCAGTCGGGTAAACATCCCGAGCTGCAACACAGCCCTTTTGAGAATGGAATGAAACAAGTTTCTTATATTTGTTTATCCTTTTATAGGTCTCAATGGATCTTAGCATTGTTGATCTTGATGTCCCATTTAGTTTAATATTTGCTGTGGGTGCGACCTGCAATGCCTATGCTGCTCTCGGAGTCTTAGCCGTCATCACCTGGCAAGTTCTGTTCATCTCCATACCAACAATCGTTTTGGCAATTTGCTTGCAGGTAATGAATATTTTACTAGAGGAATACTGACTGATATGAACTGAGATATGAACTGACAAGGAAAAGTCATGTTTTTTTGCACAGAGATACTATTTCGCTTCTGCTAAAGAACTCATGCGTCTTAATGGAACAACGAAGTCAATAGTAGCTAACCATTTGTCGGAATCCATAGCTGGAGCAGTGACAATTAGAGCTTTTGCAGAGGAAGAGCGATTCTTTAAGAAAAATCTTGAATTTGTTGATGGAAATGCCAGTCCATTTTTTCACAATTTTTCAGCCAACGAGTGGCTGATACAGCGGTTAGAGATGCTCAGCGCAGTGGTTGTTGCCTCCGCTGCCTTTTGCATAGTGTTGCTACCAACTGGAAGCTTCAGCCCTGGTGCGGATTTAATATTTTCATCATTTTCAGATATCAAATCTACAATTTTTAGATGTCAATGTTACTAAGTTCTATGTTTTTCTTGAAGGTTTCGTTGGAATGGCACTCTCTTATGGCCTTTCTTTGAATGTATCACTGGTCTTCTCCATCCAGAATCAATGTAATCTAGCCAATCACATCATTTCTGTAGAGAGATTAAACCAATACATGCATTTATCAAGTGAGGCTCCTGAAATCATCGAAGAGAACCGTCCCCCGACCAACTGGCCTTCTGTCGGAAAAGTGGAGATAATCGACTTGAAGGTACTGTATATGTTAGTTAAAAGCTGAAACCTTTGAGGAGGATCAGCAAAGTGACCATTATGGTATTGTTTTACAGATTCGGTACAGACCCAATTCGCCCCTTGTTCTTCATGGTATTAGCTGCACGTTTGAAGGAGGACATAAGATTGGGATTGTTGGTCGAACTGGGAGTGGGAAATCTACTCTTTTAAGTGCCATATTCCGCTTGGTTGAGCCAGCGGGAGGGAAGATTTTAGTGGATGGTATCGATATCTGCTCGATTGGACTTCATGACCTGCGTTCACGCTTTGGAATTATACCTCAAGATCCAACCCTTTTTAAAGGGACTGTTAGATGCAATTTGGACCCCTTAGTTCAGCATTCTGATGATGAAATATGGGAGGTGGGTGATACTTTGTTCTTGACGAGTTCATTCTGCATAATATTTGATTCAGCATAGTTCTGAAGTTTCTACGTCTTGATCATGCAGGTTCTTGGAAAGTGTCAACTTAGAGAGGCTGTTGAAGAGAAAGAAGCGGGATTGGATTCCTTGGGTAATGTTTTTCTAGTTTCTCCTAGTAGAATTCTGGTTGTCAATTTGGCTAACATTTTGTGAATACCAGTTGTGGAAGATGGCTCAAACTGGAGCATGGGACAGCGCCAACTTTTCTGTTTGGGTCGTGCGCTGTTGAGGAGAAGTCGAATATTAGTGCTTGACGAAGCAACTGCATCGATCGACAACGCCACGGATATGATTCTGCAGAAAACTATTCGATCCGAGTTCGCAGGCAGTACTGTGATTACAGTTGCTCACAGAATACCAACTGTTATGGATTGCACAATGGTGCTTGCTATCAGTGATGGTAAGTTTTTCCAAGATTTTAAGATTCTTAAGCAAAGAATTCAGTCAAAAACAAGTTTAAAAATGCATCAATCCTGGTTTTGTTGTACACAATTTTCAGGGAGAATAGCAGAATATGACGAGCCGAGCACATTGATCAAGAGAGAAGGGTCTCTATTTGGACAGCTTGTCAAAGAATACTGGTCTCACTCACCATCTGCAGAATGAACTTGAACCTATTTGTTCTTTTGCTTTCTGACGAGAACTTCAATAATGGGGAATGGATCTTGAAGCTATTTGTTCTGATGCAATCTGCTTCATTCAGAAATGGCCATTTCCCCATCAGAGAAGCTTTTTTAATCTGTAATAACCACATTTTGTTAGGGAAAGATATGTTCTGATCCAACCCATTTTCTAATCAATCAGTTTCGTTAGGGACTCAAGAGTTTGTAAAGTATCTTCCCAAATTCCATTCTCAAACTGCATCAATGTTCATCTGTACCACAGTAAATTTTGTGGGGAGAAGAATGCGTTCTATCAATTTTATTCCCCTGTTCATCAAAGCAGTACAGCATTGAAAGGTAGAGTGTGGTGAACAAAAAGTGGATTCCGTTGCTACCAATTGTGGAATGGGAAGAAAATAGATCAAGAAATTATGTTATATATATATTGACAGAAAGGAATGAATGATTGCAACACATGGAGTAGTGATAAACTGTGTTCAAGGTCCTCCGAGTACAGCATTCTCAATATCTTCTCTGCTTAGTGCATAGCTAAATCTCCTCTCCACGTCTTTCTCAAGATTTCCTGGTCCACTCTTTAGATACCTGCAAAACCAACATGTGCATTGTGTAACTATCAAATTCAAAGCCAGTAACAGAACTTTTCACCACAACACCAATAATCGAACTGCCATTTTCGGTTGGTTCCTGTTTACCTTTTCGTGTGTGCACATGTGAGTGATGAGTTGGGGGCAATGTCTTCGGCCCCAATCGTGTATTCACTAGAAGAGGTAACATGGAAATTGACTGAGGATAATTCGTTTAGGGAGGTTTGTTAGGCTAGCAGTAGTGTATTAGTAAGTAGTCTCTTTGTTATCACTATGTTTTGTATTTTGGATGGAACAACGGTTCGATTTCTGGCACTCTCGAGATTGCTGGAAGGTTATCATCGTTTTCTTATATTGTAATAGTTGTGTTTGACAATTGAATGGTAAGAAAGAAAGTATTCTTACAGAACAATTGATAACAAATTATCAGACTCAAAAGCCAGAATTGAAACGCACCAGCTAGCCTCTCTCTACTCTCAACCAAAAAGTTGGGTAAGTTTCATTCGTGATTTAAACATTTTGATGCCCTGCAAGACGTTTACGAGCATCCAAGAGATTTTAAAACCCGATCAAGTTTCAAAACAACGGTAACAGCCAGGCTATAACAATTCTCCCTGGTCATGTGTTAGGAAAGTTTCTGGCATGTGGAAAAGAGACTGAGCTAGGCTGTGCAACTAAATCTATTCTACAAGGATAAATTGAACTGGATGTAACAGAGGAGCCTAAACTAAGGTCCTCCATTTGCAGGAATGACTAATGTTCTTTTGCATCTGCAAAATGTTCACACTTCAATATCAACCGCTGAAAACCAGAACAGATCCCGTTTCCATTTAAAGTTCACGCTGCAAACTCTCTCCCTCTTTCAGGACAATTATATTGCATTGGAGGTCGATTGATCCATATGAATCTCGAGAGTGGATGGTTGACCGCTCAATACCTCAAAATTTTACATGCTCAATATCCTACTTAAACATTTACAAAACCCCGTCTCTATTATAACCAATCCAGAGGCCAAATAATAGAGAATTGCCATTCTCCCAGCTCAATCTTGACCATAGTTTCAATAATGACAACTGCAAGGCATCATTTTTCTATTCTCTGTGAGATTTAATACATAAAACAAGCATATCACTTAAGCAACCTAAACGAAGCAGTTGTCATATGGATGCTTGAATGAACACAACCCCGGAATCAAAATGCAATCGATATCTTACACAAGTTAAGCAACCTAAAGAAAAATCATGGGAAAAGGACTCCAACAAAATTCTCAAACTAAAGTTTGTTTCCTGATAAGAAAGTAACATGTAGGGCAACACTGAATGATTCATCCTCAATTCAATTCACGAAATAACCCTAATCAGAAAACGCAATTAAACGATAAAGAACCAAAATCCAGATTGAAAAACACAAATCCATGTCATAAAATCACAAAAAGGAGACCTATTGCGAACCTTATATAGAGGTCGGTGACATCCAGGGAGAGCTGGGCGTGCCATTCAGGCTTCTCGATTAGCCACACGGCTCGGTCCTCGTTACTCTGGTAAAATCCCAAGTTCTTTAACCAAGCCTCGATGCAAGGCAAACTGTGAGAGTACAAGGGCTTCTTCTTTTCCGGAAGCTTGTTCAGCCACTCGTCCTCTGAAGCAGAGAGCTCCTCTGCCTCGGATGACTTGGAAGAGACAATGCTCAAGCTTTTCCTGAAGGATTGAGAGATGGGGTTGCGTAATTGTGGGAGTTTAGTGGAAATAGGACGCCAAATCGATGAAATTTCGGGATGATTTGAAACGGGAGATGGGAAAACATTGGTACAGAGAGACTGAAAAGCAAAAGTGATGGACATTATCCTATCAATCTATATCTATACGTATACTTATCAGAATCGCTAATTTATTTGCAAACTCCTGATGGAAATGGAAGCACAGAGAGAGGGTCCTCCCACTTTCAAGGCAGGACTCGGAGGACTAAGAACGAAACTCCTAAAAGAAAGCGAGTGCAAACCTGGTTATCGGTTATCTGGGAGTATTTTATTTTATTATTATTTTTAAGCTCTAGAATTAGAAAATCTGCGTCAAATTTCAGACTAATTAACTGATAAAAGACTTATTATTTTCTAATAAAGTTACAAAAAATTTACCCTTTACATGAACAATGCATAACTAATTTTAAAAGCTTAAAAAAAAAATTGGTTTAAAAATATTTATAAATTTTAAAAAAATAACATTAATAAGTTTAGATAACCAAAGACGGGTAGATAGACGATTTTGATCCATATACTGATGGTAAGAATTTTTTTTATAAAGATAAAGAGTGTTAATGCTACTTTTAAAATTTTATCGTTATTTTTTCAACATAGTACTAACGGTAAAACCTAAGAAGGTTGACATTCAAATGATCCAAGTAATAATGTTTTAATTGGACTATGTTTATGCAAGTCTTTTTTTAAAATTATAATACAAAGATTTAGAATCGTATAAATATAAAATATGATATAGGTATGTTAAAAAATGATATTAATTGACCAAAGTGTGGAGCCCTAATTGGCTAGTGTCAACACAAAGTCAAATCGATGGCGTGGGTCGCAAGCATATATTAGGATAACACATAGTAAAGGATTTAAAATTTGAATTTTTCAATACCGATTGTATTATAAAATTGATACTAGAATTTCTTGTCATCTAAATCTTACTTTCGATCTTTAAAAATATATGCACTCAAGTTAGCTTTAAATTCATTAAAATGTTGATACAAAGTTCACGAAGCATCTTAGAATCGACCTAAGAAGTATCTACACTATTACCTAACAATGCAAAAGAAAACTCTCTAAGATAATCGCGAATGATCTTGAGGGGATCATCCTCGTTGAAGATACACAATTATTTCTACCCATCTCTATATTATTCTAGACATGCATGTTTTGAACTTAGAAGCACACCCGTGCGAGATTGTATTGACCGACTCAATAACCCTGCTTGGCCAGATCCAAGCATCTGCCCTTGGTTTAGTGCTTTTGTCTTGAATTATTCTTGGTTTTAGAATAATTCAAATTAAACATTATCTTGACCCTTGTATTAATCCTAAATTTTTTAAGCTTCTGTTCTTATCTATAAGCCTAAATATTTATAAAACTAATGAAACTTCTGTCCTTGTCAAAGGCTTTAAATTTAAGCAACATTACAATAATGATATCAAGAACATAGTCTCAACACATCTCTATATTTTTGTATATCAGTTTCATGGTTGAAATTTTCAAACACAAGCTTTCTACACACTATAAATAGCACCAAACCACTTCCAAACCTCAAACCAAGAAAGCAAAAGAAATCTCAGCAAAAATGGCTACAAGTTTGCAAACTCTTGTTCCAATTCTGTCTCTCCTTCTCTTGGCTCATGTTTCGACATCCAATGGAGGCAGCATTGCCATCTACTGGGGCCAAAGTGCTGCCGAAGGAACTCTGAGAGAAGCATGTGCCACCGGAAGATACAAGTACGTTATGCTTGCTTTTCTCAACAAGTTTGGCAGCGGTCGCACCCCGTCGATCAACCTCGCCGGGCATTGCAACCCCGCGAACGGCGGGTGCACGGTGGCCAGTCGTAACATTAAGTTCTGCCAAAGCAAAGGGATCAAAGTTCTTCTCTCCATTGGTGGTGGCATTGGAAGCTACTCCCTGGCTTCTCCTGCTGATGCCAAAAGCTTCGCGACATATCTCTACAACCACTACCTCGGTGGCCGATCATCCTCTCGCCCGTTGGGCGACGCAGTGTTGGATGGAATAGATTTCGACATTGAGCTCGGCTCGACAGCAAACTGGAATCTCCTTGCAAGGAACCTAAAGGGCTTCAGTAAGCCAAGCAGACGAGTTTACTTGTCAGCTGCTCCTCAATGTCCATTCCCAGATAGGTTTCTTGGAAAAGCCCTGAACACAGGCCTTTTCGACTACGTTTGGGTTCAATTCTACAACAATGCTCCATGCCAGTACGCACCTGGACACATCAACAAGCTCATATCGTCGTGGAACCGCTGGACGTCGTCAGTCCCGGGCAAGGGGAAGATCTTTCTTGGCTTGCCAGCAGCTAGAAAAGCTGCAGGAAGTGGATATATTCCTCCTTCTGTGCTAACTTCGCAAATACTTCCAAGGATAAAGAGGTCGCCAAGGTATGGAGGAGTAATGTTGTGGTCTCGATATTGGGACAAACAAACAGGATATAGTGCTGCCATTATAAAAAAGGTATGATATATAATTATACTATAAAGTCTAATAAATAAAATGTGTACGGGTCTTCTTCACATCTCTTTTCCTGAGAGATGTTTTATGTTCCAAGTGTCTCTTGTGTAATGTAATCTTCTAATGAAAAATGAAATATGTCGTTTGTATAAGGTCACTTTCCAAGTCCCATCCGAGAAAAATAAAAAATAAAAATGTCATATAAACCAGAATTAGTTTTTAGAAGAGTAGTTTCAAAAACATTTTCAAAATATATTTGAAACAAATGGTAAAATTCAAGATGAGAGTTTATAAGCATTATTTTTTAAAAGAAGAAAAGTTAATATTTTTCAAAACGAAACTATTGAGGATTGTTGGTGGTTGGCTAATTAAAAGAATGACCATGATTGAGAGAAGAGAATGAAGAGAATGATTATGAGTTTATAAGGAATACATCTCCATTAATATTATGAGAGGCCTTTAGGAGAAACCAAAAACAAAGACATGAGAGCTTATGCCAAAGTGGACGATATCTTACCATGGTGGAGATTCATGGTTTCTAACATCAACAGGAAGCATTTTCATTTTCTTTTAAGACAAAGAAATCCAAAAGATGAACTAGATTCTGTAGCAGCACAAACAAATCAAGTATGATAAGCCTAAGCCCTGAATTGAATTGACAGAAATCAGAAAATACTGAAGCTAGGCTGTAATTCAACTACTTCAACTACACACTACTGATGATAAGAGGCTTAGGAGCTGCGTGAGCCAAAATTTTTATCAGAGCTAAACTAGGCTACATAACCCAGAAAACAAAAATAAACTTGATTTATTTCTAGAAAATAACCTTGGCAGAACAGTTTAAGTGGCATTTCTCACGTCTCTTGGCTCTCTATTACACTTTACGGACTTGAATATTGTGAGTAGATGGGAACCGCCATATGGGTTGTTTGCCACTCTGAACGAGTGCTACCTCTTCTCCTTCCTTCACCATTCCTTGCCTCTGTACACGACAAGCTCAACGAGTCAACGACATTCCCATACATGGAAACTAGAGATTATATTGAGAAGCCATTAAAAAGAATACTGAAGAAAAATAAAAAAAATTGGCAGATAAGATACCTGCAGCATAGATAAGGCATCGCTAAAGGTCTGCTCAGCATCATCGGAGAATTGCATGTATATGGGGCACACTCCCTGGTATAAAGCCAACCTTTGTTGTATCCTTTTACTGCATGCCACAACAGGGTATTTAAGGAAACTATCATACCTGAAATTCTAGTGCCTAACTAAAATGTATATTTCAAATTCATGAATAACTTAATTGATCACATAAAGAAAAAGCATTTTCATCCATGATACTGGCCCTTTTTATAGATCCAAGGGGTAGCTTAACAACTTAGTGGATCCATATTAAAATTGCGAACATTTTCATCAATAATGAACTTGAATGTTTGTATGTGAGTGACCTGATGTTTACTTGATCGACCCACAAGAGCGCCTGATGCTCACACTTAGAGTACGGTAATAGGAATGATCAAAATCATATAGCATTGAAAAAGAAATGTGAAGGAAAGAAAAAGAAGGCTAAAGACTAATGATGCAGTTTGATAAGCACAAGTTTGATTCTGGTAGATAATATAAACAAAAATTACAGGGAAAAATGTAAGAATCTATCTAGGTCCATAGTCTATATGATTGGCTCTTAAGTAAAGAAGCAACTCACTCATTTGTAAAGGCAAATGTCGTCCCAGATGGCCGATAATGGCTGAGGAGGATTGCCATGAAACCAGTTCTAGTGAAGACAACTATTGAGGTTCCAAGAGTGTTGGACATCATCGTTGCATGATAAGCAAACATCTCGCTCATATGATTCTACGTGGATGAAAAGTTATCAAGTCAGTATCATAATGAAAAAAAAGAATGATAATAGAAGAGAGGTGGGAGAAAGCAATAAATCATGTTCTTATCGAAGAAATAGTGTCCATATCAAAGTAACATAAATTTAGTAGTTTTTAAATAACCTTGAATGTTTGACCAAGATTCAATGGCATTCGACCACCTTCTATGGTTGCTTCAGTCCGTAAGGCAACTGTATGCATTACTTTCACAGCTTTTAACGGGAATCTGGAAATTGTCATAATCGGTTGACCAAATGAACGAACAGAATTTATCGTTATTCATCAAATAGACACCAAAACAAAAGAAGTCGGTTAGACTAAGTTACATTTACACTAGATTCATTTGTTCCCCTTATATTTTGGAATTTTATACAGTATGCTCAATATCTGCACATCATGCATTCTAGCTGGTCAAATCCATTAATTGAAATGAACTTTTGTCTTGCAGCATCAAATCATTATGTACTCACCATAGAACACACAGTCTTGAAAACCATTGCAAGATCTAAAGAGACAACATAATTCGTACCAAAAATCCCAAAGATTTCTAGGATAAGAAAGAATTTCATTCAGCCAGACAGCATAAGTTTAATTAATAGCATATTCAGGAACTAAAGATTTCAAAAACAATATATTGTGCCCCAAATGTCTGAGCCAATCACAGGTTAACTGGTAGCATACTAAAGAGCTAAAGAGATAACTCACTTTCCATGAGCAGTTTCTCCAGACAGCATGATTGCATCAGCACCCTCTCTAACTGCAATAGCAATGTCAGATACTTCTGCTCTGGTTGGTGTCGGATGAACAATCATACTCTCAAGCATGTTAGTAGCCACAATGACAGCCTTCCCCATGCCTCGACACAGGTTGATTATCTCCTCCTTCATGCCGACCAATTATGTTTAGAAAGTATGAGATACGAAATACTAACATCCTGAGTGGGGGAAAATAAAACAGAAAATAACACCACTGCTTCTTTATTGGAAATTTTAACTACCTGCAGAAGTGGAACCTCTTCAATAGGGAGTTCAGCACCAAGATCACCTCTCGCAACCATTGCCTACAATCATAAAAAAGAGGAATTTGCCCTTAAATTAGCAACCAAGACCCAGACTATCAACAAAATTGAAAACATTTGATCGGAACTCAAAAAACGAGGCTATGAAGAAAAACAAATAATTACCCCATCAGAAGCTGTAATAATTGAATGCAAATTTGGTATGGAGTCTGCGCTTTCTATTTTTACAATCACATGAATATCAGCATCACAGCCTGCAAAGTCAGGAAGGTTAGCAAGTCTAGAGCAGACTAACAAGAATGCAGCATCCAAATTGACTTTCTAAGCACAACATAGAGATCTGAAGCTATTTACTCTTAAGATACTTCTTCAACTCATGAACTACTTGTGCATCCTTGACGAAAGAGACAGCGTAAAAATCAACTTTGTTGTCAACTCCAAATTTAATATCATCCCAATCCTTCTCTGCAAGAAACAGTAGCAGTAAAACATATTTTTTGAGTCAAATGCGAAAAAGGAAAATAAGGAAAGGAGAAACTTTATTAAAAGGTGAAATCTGTAGGATATGCTAATTTGAAGTCCAACCAGTAATGGAAGGCAGTGTTGCACTTTTCCCTCGAACATTTAAATGTCGCCTGGACTTGAGCTCTCCTCCATCAACAACTTCACACTTGACAGAATCCTCTGTTTTAGACTTCACCATCAACGACATCATTCCACCTATAATAGATTTAAAGAGTCAATATTGTCACCATGCATGAGATTTGCACAAAAAGGTTCTTCATTTTCTTTACAAAATTTCAACTATAATAGTCTTATGATGTAAGATGAAAATGAACATTAATCATTATTTTAAAATAGAAAAGCAAGTTTACAACACATGAGACCAAAAAAGAAAAAGGAAGAAAACAGTACATAAGAATAGAAGGGTATCGGCTCACTGTCATTAAAAAGCATTAACATGTCACCGTGGGGAAACGGAAGCAACATAAATGTATCAAGAAATTAGTAGAATACAAGACTCCTGTGCTTCAAAGCAAGATTTATCACCCCATGGAATGTAATCCAGTATTCTATCTAAATAAAGCTTCAAACTCGGGGTAGAAATATATATATAGAAAGTAGAAAAAAAAAAAGCAATTAAAAAAAATTAGCATACCATCAACAAGAATCATGTCCCCAACTTCTACATCATTAACAAAGTCATCATAGTTCACACTGACAGAATCTGCAGTGCTAACACCCCTCCGTATGGTGAAAGTGAATTCCTGACCACTTTCTAACAATATTGGTTGTGGTAGATCACCACTCCTAACCTCAGGACCCTGACAAAATGAAATAGACACTTAATATATATTAATAAAAATGACTGAAACTGACCTTGAGAAAAAGATCAGAACTTTAAAAGAGACAAAAAAAAAAAAATGTAAATAAAAACATAAGGCACAAGGCAGATTGCAAACCCATTGTAGAGTTGAAACTATAGGCTTGCTTTTAAAATTTAATTATTAATCACTGGCAGGTAAAAATGGAAATATAATCTTCTACCAACATTTATTGTTGGGTTAATGAAATGAATGTATTGAATATGGGGATACAAATAGCTTGCCTTGGTGTCTAGCATGATTGCAATGCAATTGTCTTGTGATTGGGCGTTGTATTCTCTGACTAAATCTATAACTTTCTGATGAGATGCATGGTCTCCATGAGACATATTCAATCGAGCAACATTCATTCCAGCTTCAGCCAGTTTCCAAATCATTTCCTTCGTGTCAGTCGAAGGTCCAATCGTACACACAATTTTTGTCTTACGTCTAACTGTTGGCTTGGACCACATACCAACCGGTGTATCACCAAGTTGTTGAACTGCTCGTAAATGTTCAAATTGCTCATCTGCCTGATAAGTAAGATTCAGAATGGTATTAAGACGTGAAAATTGAAATTCACTTGCATTAGCAGCCAATGAAGGCTGCAAAGTATCCATTTTCAAACTAAAGCAAAATAAGAAGACTAGCAGAGTATTTTGGAGCAACCGTATGAGTATGTATGAAGATACGTGTGTTTTCCCACTAGAAAATTCGAAGATTAAAGAAAAACCAGTATGTATGAAGATTCTTCACTTTCTCAGAGATATCAACAGCATATTAAGTTTCCAGCCGGACAAAAAAACTTTGCGCATCTAAATTATGGATCCATACAACTTGACGCTATACAAATAAACTACACCACTTTGCTTCCTGAATGCTACGTCCCTTCCAGACAACTACGCAATTCTTCTAAGAAAAGTCATTTCAATATTCAAATTCTATGACTCCAGCTCCCCCTTTTTCCTCAATCTTTTCGTAACAAGCAAATAAAAGCCCTTTCTTCAAAAAGAAAACTAACAAAACAGAAGATCACAAACCTTCTGAACATCCTCAGGTGATACCGGAACAACTTCAGCTTGAGTAGCTCCCTTGGATGTGATTAGACTTCTCCTGTATGCAAAATTCCAACTCTTCTTCTCATGCCGCAACAGTTTGGAGCCAATACCAAAAGACCGAGCCCTGTCTACTCGGTCATGCACAGATCCCGAGCTGGGACACAGGAATGTGCTGTGAATCGATCTCGTAGCCACCACCTGTGACATTTTACGAACAAAAGCAAAAGCAGAGAGGAAAAAAACTAAGCGAGAAAGGTCCCAAGGAGAGATTTAACTGAGGGCGAAATGAACAGAGAACTTCTTGAGGACTCAAACGTAGAAGAATTCGCCACAATCCTCAGGCGGATTCACCAATGCAAATGTGAGAGTGTTAGAGAGCTTCGGTTGTGTCGAAGAAATGGGAAGCTATCGCAGTTGAGCTTCCTTTAAAGCGGCGATTTTACTCATAAAGCGCTAGCAATATACAAATAGTAAGGAGGCGCATGGAGCGCGTGCACTCAACTCGCCTTCTGAGAAAAATATGCTTCAAATTGTCCAATAAATGGGCCCATATTTGGGCCTGACCATCACCCTTTTGGACCTCTACGCTATCTTCCCTTCTCGCAAGGCTCAATACATTTGGTTCAACTCCATGATTATCATTTCAAGTAGATCCTTCATTATTAAAATTAGACTGAATTGTTTGCTTTAATAGAAATATAATTAAAATAATAATAATAATAAATTTCGATTTTTTAATTGATTATTTAAAATGTAAATCTGTAATGTAATAATTAATTTACTTCTATTTTTCTTTCAATTGAACCGAGAATAAATACATATTAATTAAGGAATATAGTGATTTGAACTTTTATTTTAAGAGAATAAATACATATCTGATTTGAACTTTTATTTTAAGAAAATAAATACTCGCCGATTACCCTTAAATTATGCTCACTTTTGCTAATAAATTTAAGAACATAACAAGCTTGTATGAGCTAAACAAGGTGTCCGCACTTGAAATTTACGAAATTATCCATCATTTTTTTGCCTCTTTCTAAGCTTTAAGAGCAAGAATAATAAATTTCAGTTGAAGAGTTGAACCAATTAACAAAGCCAAACAAAACCTCGATATTCTTTGCTTAAAATTTTTTAACGTAATATTTCTGGTAAAAAAATTACTACTTCAAAAAGATACAAACCAAAAAACAATACACCACTGCCAACTTCCCCCCCTAAAAAATGAATTAATGAAATAAATACAAGGAGACAGCATTGAGCTTGTTTAAGATCGAATCATGCAGAATAACATGAGAATCGCTCACAAACCAAACAATCAAAACACTGACCACAAAAAAAAAAAAAAAAAAAAAAAAAAAAAAAAAAAAACATGAAGAGTTCTTCAAGAAATAGAAGTAACTCGAACTGAGTGATCGGCAGAACCAGTCAAGAACACGGGCAAGGTCGGGTGCCAATCGACCGTTGTTATTGCTGCCGTGTGTGGAAGAGTTTTCAATCCGCCCACACGACCACCCACCTAAGTAAGGAATTCGATGTCAATAACACACATACTATTGAATGGGAGGGATTCAGTTTCAAGAAAAACAGGTCCCCACGATGCAGAGTTCAGTTAAATCGCTACAGCATCGCTCAACTCGATTTCAAAAAGGTTAAAATCACTTTTGTCACGTCCGAAATCATTTTCAAACATCTTTTTAATAATCTAAAATTAATTTAATGTTCGATTTTAAATGATTTAAACCGGGGTTTCCAAATTTCTTGATAGGTTTAAAGCTTGCATTGAAGTAATTTTGAACATGGCAAAATAACTCTGGAGCATGTCCTCACAGCTACATCATGATGGGTATGCGTTTATCATGCTACTGAAGGCAAGATGGAAGGAACGGAGGAAGTGATGAACCTGGTATATGGGGGCTCGCACTGAATTTGATGTAGCCAAGAGTCTCTTTCCATTTACATCCAAAGCCATTTCATGTCTCAAAGACAAAGAGCTCTCGGAATCGCAAAACCTGTTAAAAAAAAAGACGAACATACTATCAAGGTACCTCGAGCCAAGGTACAGGATAAAGTATTATTACTCAACCAAATTCAAGAACAGTTTACTATAGAATGTTGTCGGGGACAACAGCATCAAAGTGGACAGTAATCTAATAATGTTCGACACGTATAGTCTTCTATGAAGTTCAGTATACGTTTATATGCACAGCAAAATTTGTTTGAAGAAGATAGAAAAGTATTGATTAGCAACCACTTGCATCGTATAAACAACATAGATTGACATTCATTAGCTATCTTTCAACATTAAAACCCTCTTGAAGAGCATTAAATTATACCCTATAGATATTATCTATCTAACAGATGAAAGTACCTGCTATTATTTCTTGACCACAGAACTTGACCTTGATTATGCAAGCTCCATTCAAATATCTGACCACAGAAAAATGTATCATCGTACAACCAAATAAGAGTTAAAAGATCAAAATAAAGTTTATCAATGCATCAACAGAACTTCTATCCAGAAAAATGAATACATAAAACAACATGCCTTCCCATCTGACCCTAAGGTGAAAATGCTAGTTTCATCTGGCCCGAAAAGAATCGAGTTAATGGCAGAGTCATGTGCAGGCCACCCTGTAATTTGTAGACATGCAGACATGTCTTTCAGCTAGTTAAGGTCCAGAATTGTGAAATCTTATCGTTCAAATAAATTAATGCATATCACCCCTTGAGGGACTGCAAAAGTTCCAAAAAACCACCAAGGTTTTCTCCACCCATTTCTGATTCAGATCCAGGATTGCATGACTTCCGTACTTACATAATCCAGTAAAAAAGAAGCAAATACTAGTAACTTTCCATGCCTTTCCACGCGAATCTGATATAGTCTTACAAGAAAAACTTAAGCATTTCAAATGTATTGTAAGGATACCAAACATGTGAATCATTCCATCAGTAGCAGCAGCAGCTAAAATTTTCCCGTTATGATTGAAGCACATTGAAGTAATTGCAGGTGGATCCTTGCCAAGAGGAAGGACTGTCTTCATAGAAACCAAAAGATAGTCAAGGCATCAAATAGCTACTGGAAGCTAAAGCAAACTTAAGTTCCAACAGCAAGCATATCCATACCATTGACTTCCATGTTCTCATGTTCCATACGGTGAGTGAAGCAAACCCCAAACTATCCACATAACTTGAACCATGCCTACAAAGGTAACGAATTCCTAAGAATCACTTGCATTTTTTTTTTTCCCTCATAGAAGGGAAAAAGGAACAAACCGAAACTCATGTAGACAGGTCAAAAGGAAATAAAGAATACTTACATAATGAAGCATAAGATGGGGAACAACGAAAATACGAGAAAATCATCGATGTCAAAAGTTGAAACCAATTTTAGTTTACAAAACACATGAAAGATTATGATATTATGAGGAAAATAATACCCTCTAGATGCTGCTGCAGAGACGAAAATAGATTCAACAGGACTGCACTTGATATCCAACACACTGCAACAAAATAAAATATGAGAAATTTGGAAGGGGAAGAATTAAATTATAGAGACTATCAACTGAAAGAACCTAGGGAACATATCAGTCGTGTTGAGATCACACACAACTCTCTTTGCATCAACATTCCATGCTTTAATCCCCGCATCAGCGGTGCCTATTAGAAGCTTTTGCCAAAAGAAAAACACAAGAGATTCCCGTTAATTGAACTCGCGAAATTATAAGTGCAATTTTTTAAGACAGAAATTATAAATGTGTTCACTAAGTAACACAAGCTTCCATATCAACTTACAAGGCGATCAGATTTACATTCCCAATCAAGTGACATAATCTCCGCTCCACAGTAAATTGTTGCATTTCTGGATGCTGGAGTGGATGGGTCATATGTCCATATCCTATTTAACATGCATTGAGTCATAATGAATTAGGAAATCAATAGCAGAGAAGAGAAGGTGGGAGAATGGTGTGATAAAGAAAACCCTAAGTGCCCTGGACTTCATTTAAATTTGGTTAAAATATCATTTTAGTCGCGGAACTTTGAGACTTGTTGTATTTCCCCTTTGTACTTTCAAATGTCCAAATTTAGTCCTTGTACTTTGTATTTTTCCGCTATAAATTTTGTAAACATATACACACAGTATCCTTTTCATATAACTAATTTAAGTTTTATTGCAAGAATAGAATTAAATTTGCACATTTGAAAGTACAAGGACAAAAATCAATCGAAATCTAAAATACAATGACCAAAATAGTATTTCAACCTTCAAATTTATAAGGGAGGCCCTCAGTTGAAGGAAAGAAACAGAATGAATCAATTAACAACCAATTTTCAAGGTATTTCCCTTCCAATTTTTCACCTCAAATACCTTGAGTATCATACCTGACTGTACCATCCAAAGAAGCACTTGCTACATTGTTTCCAGATGCAGAAAAACGGCAACGACTGATTGGACTTGTGTGGCCCAAAAATGTCTCCTATTTACCACAAATATGAAAATTAGAAAACTCCATTGTATGAAGATCTAGAGAAGTACACGTACAAATCTAATCACAAGAAATTTAGTAAACCAAACTGTAATGGTGTAAGTTACTAAGTTACAGGCTAAACTTAATTTGAATGCCTATATAGAATTTTAGTAGTAGCTTTACCTGAAATTCTACTTTCACTTCAGGAAAATCTTCTTGTACATGGGCTTCTCCGCTATTCACTGGCACAGTATGAATACAAATGTCATATCTCTTTATGAAAAGAAAATTAGGCAAAAAGATCGCTGAAAATTGATAGAAACCATTTTTATTAATGTATCAACAAGAGATTAGAGAACTCACTGCTTCTCCCAAGTCTCACTCCGAGAACTAACCACAAAATGACTCAAAAAGTACCTCCCAGAGGATCTATCTCTCACAATAAACCCCTTCCCTCAAGTGAACTCATATCTAACAAATATTCTCCGGGTCCAACTCACCTATTACAAAAATAGTACTTAAGTATTGCTCTCCCAATTCTTCTCCAATTCGGGGTCTACCAAAATATTATGAAGATGGAAAATCTTATTACATTAAACTATTACAGAATTGATGGTAACTGGGTCATTTTTTCTGTTTGATACAGAAAATGAAAGGCCCGAAACAAAATACAGAAGTGCACGGTTCCGTCTTTGATCAATGTAAGTTTTTAATGGCACTAAAATGGGAAACTAATTGCTTCCCAAATAGGATAGCATTAGAGTCAAGGATTCGCCCCCATCCCTAATCACATGTGAATTTCAAATCCCTGCCCCCATCCCTAATCACATGTGAATTTCAAATTCCTGCCCCCTTCCCTAATTTTGTGAAGTTAATGCAAGGCTAGGATATTACCAGCCACTCATGTTTATGCTTACTTTTAACTATTTTATAAACAAATGTACTCAAAAGAATATTGAAAATATGTGGAGAAATTAATATTTTCATTATTTCTGAGTTTGACTAGAAGATCAATTGAATGTCTCTTTCCATAATATAACGTGCATTCGGCCTTTATTTTTTGGTACTGATACTTTGTCAAATTGTCAAAAAAAACTTAGTTAATAGAAAAAATAAAGTACTATACAGTAAGGCTACAGACCCATTTGACGGCCATCTTCATAACTATGACTAGAATCACCAACTTCACTGTCTCCCGTGCAAAGAGTTAATGAAGAACTTGAATCTTCATTTGAAGCAATATACTTGTCAGAGCCAGCTAAAACCCCATCTCGAGTCAGTTTCGTTTCCCCAACTAGTGTAGTTGGAGAAGGACAAGGCTCTTGAGCATCATTTGATGAAGTAATTTTCTCTTCGTGCAACACACTTGAAGAACTGTTCACCAGGCTGGCATCAATGAGAGATTTAAGACTAATAATAGTGAGGGGTTATAAATTTTATTTTTCAGAAATTGAGCTTGTCGTATCCTTTTAAAAGATGAAAAATAACATAACCTTCTTAAGTGGCAAAGATGAGCCTCTTTTTCCTCCAATAAAGCCTGAAGTTGCGTCAATTTAAGATTTAGCTGCTTGATATCTCGTTTCAAATGATTAACTGTAGTCCTCTCTGAACTGAGCTTTAGTAGAGCAGGAATGCGTGGTTTTGTTAAGAAAAACTTTTCTGGATTCGAGTAGCAGTATAAACCTCATTTTAACAATTTTAAGAGGCCTCTAATACTGACCCAATGCCCATACTATCAAATATAGTCCTAGTCTAAGCTTCAGAAGAAAACAGTAATGAACGAGATACGAATGGAATATGAGATGTGTGCACCCTAAAAGACAAGGTTTCCAAGAGAGTAAATCAAATATGACTGCTAGAGAAATATAACAAGCAGTAGTAAATGAAGCTTAAATATCAAGACCATAATTCTCGATAATGAATACTACGAACATTTCAACAATTGTGTGCAGGATATGAGTACCATTGAATACTTCGCTGAAGAAATTCCTTACAGAAACATGCAGTGCTTCATACCACTCCTTTGTAAAATAAACGTGAAAGTGGGGATCAAACTTCGGATTCTTTAGGTATGGCATGGCTGCAAAATGTCCCCCAAATCATATAAATATAGAAGAAATTAGGTTATTTAAACTCCGTAAACAGAAATTTTCTACCCACCAAACCATGGAGTCCAATCCTTAGTCCTTTGCAGTAGATCGTTGCCATTGGTTTTAAGGAACTCCAGAACTTTATCTGTCCTTCCTGATTGTATGGCATGTACCATATAATAACGAAGAATGGAAACCTCCAATTTTGACACGGTTGAAAGAAATGTGTTGTCAGATGATGAAGCTAGGCACTGCTTGAAAAAACCTAGTAGCCCCACCAACTTTTCTGCCTCGAATTTGGGTATATATATAGAGAAGATTAAATCCAAAATCTTGTCCACTTGGAACCCCTTTCCAATATCTGTGCTCAGCTCACTCTCATAAGCTTGAAGAGTACTTGTGAACCCCCTAAACACAAGGAACTCCCTCACGAGCTCCTCAGCATACTGCATATTCTCCATTATGGTCCAAAATTCAATATTCGGGTCCTTTAGGCTACACTAGCCACTGATACACTTAAGCCTGGTTTCCTCACAAATATTACTGCACACAGATAGTTAAACCAAGCATAAATTAATAGAAAAAAATCAGCATCACGGAATATAAAATAAGTTAAGCAAGAAATCAACATTGGCCGACAGATCAAGAATCGAGAGCTTCGGACATTACATATTCAACTAGTTTTTCAATAACATATGCTGTAGAACAAGTCACTTATACCATACGATTAACAAAGCTCCATAAAGACTGATCAAGACACAGACGGTTGCTTGGGGAAATTGAGAATGAGCTAGAAATGATTAAGCAAAGACAGGAATAAACAAAGTCAAACGTCATCAGTTTCCTTCTCACCCAGCTGCAAGAAACACTTTTCTACTTCTGGGAAATTGGCATGATCAAAACAACTGATGCTAAGTACCCATGAAGACAAGATTAGCATAACGTCTTTAGCTCAGACATGATAAAATTCTAGAACAAGCAGATATATAAATGGCAATATGTTAGAAAAATCACGTCTAGGAACCGTACCTTCATAAATAATTACTGAAGAAATGAACATAATCGAAGCCAAATGAAACAGAATGCCTTAGATTCAAGATGCCCATACGCAGGACGAAAGAGAAAGAGATAGCTGGGAAATCAGAGGAATCAGTCGATGAATTCTTTTTTTCTTTTCTTTTTTTAATTAGAAATGTGAAATAAAATGGGTAACTGGGCCTTCCTGTCTTGGGCTTTGAAGTGTTGCCCAATGAGCTTCTACATTAAGAACAGCCCAGCCCATAATATTGGCCTACTACAATGGAAATAACCACTGGGCTCTATCATTTTGGGCCTTGCAGCGCGTCATTGAATTACAAATGGGCTGGAGAATATATCTACTGGACTTTATCATTTTGGGCCATTAAGAAACTGGGCTTTTTACATTCGAAATGGGCTTTTTCAAATGGGCTGAAAAAACATATCTACTACATATGTACTGAGTTTTTTTTTTTTTTTTTTTTTTTTTAAGATATACGATTTTTAATTTGAATAATAAAAATTTTACAACCATTCACCAAGTTTATAATATAATTCCATGAAAAAAAATATATATATATAAGTCGTACACTTATATATAAATATAAATAAATGAAAAAAGTTTTATGTTTAAAGTAAAACGTGTAATAACAATTTTATAAAGAAAAATAATATAAAGACATGTGAGGAACACAAGACTGTAATCCAGTGGAACAAATATAATATTACTCAAAACCTGCCCTTCTGGAAATTCGAGCGAGGTGTCTGTTACACACTTGCAAGCATTTCAGTAGACCTCACTTGCTCCTAAATGGACAAACTCATTAGGCCTATAAATCTCCCAAAACAATCGAATCGGAGGGTTTCTTCTAATCGCGACGGTTTCTGAGGTAACCAACAAGTTCTAATCATTTGTTTTAGTTTATTAAGCATGTCGAGTTTGTTGCAGTCACGGTTTGATTTATCAATGGCAACATATCATTGGGTTTGGATTCAATTTCTTCTTCTTTTTCGGCTTTGGTAGCTGAAATCGCTGTTCTTCCCCATGATTGCCCTAAATTTAGCTCGGTTTCTTATGGTGTACTTTCCCTTTATGTTCTTGTTGTTCTTCCCGAATATTGAATATTGTAACCAGACTTTACAAACCAAACACAACATTCTCTTTGGGAATCAAAATGTGGCAATGAATGTTTGGATTCTCTTGCAATCATTATTGTCCTCAAAAGGGGACCAATTGGTTTCGAGTCGCTCTCCTTTTTTGGGTGTTGTCCCGAAGACCTCGGCCTCTGTCCATGTCTTTTGCCGACAATCTCTTTTGGACCATTGTCTGATGAATTTTAAAATTCTCATTCAAATTTGAATGAAAATGACACAACTTTCTCTGACAGTTAAACGGGAGAAGTTTCAAACTCACCTCCACTCGCATTGCTCGTGGATCAAAAACTCTGATCATTCTTTACCATTCCAACTGTTTGATATTTTGCCGCACCAATTCTTCACCACCAATTCAATGACAAATCCCATTATTCCATTATTCAAATTCAAGGACCAGAACTTGTCTACGTATGAGAATTGGGAATCATTGAAAACAAATCTTTTTTCTTTTCTTTTTTGGTTAATGCTTTGAATGAGTGTTGGAATGTGACGTCTTTTTGTACATCTGTCGTTGTGTCGTGGAGTTCTAACGAGTTTGAATCGACCCGTTCATGTCTCGCATTTACGGTTCAAACTTGTGATGAATAAAGTGAATATCTTTTTGGAAAGAGAATCTGTCTTCTTCATGAAGTATATAGAGAGGGGGAATGATTAAAAGAGATGTGGGGTTGAATGTACTGATGCAAACACTACATTATATTTGCCTGTAGGGACTCCAATTTCTGTTCCTTTCCACCTTTTTTTTCCTTTTTTGAATTATTATTTTCACTGTTTCTTACCCAATCAAAAGCATAAGAATTAGAGAGAGAGGACATTGAGGTTTCCGTATATATATACACACACACACACACATATATGCGAACCTCAAAGCCCCTGTGGATATGTTCCATAAAGAAGAGAGTTTTCAGTAGCTATTTCCCTTTGTGTATTTATTAGTATCTTTGAACTGCCGGAATACCTCTGCACATATATTGAGGTAAAGCTGCCGGAATGGAGACATCCCAGCCTCTTTCTATTGATAGCTTTTCATATAGTTGGCTAGTGAATATAAAGCCATCTCTAGATAGCTCAGGCAACAACTCCTTTAGGACCTCTCTCGACGCTTCCGATGAAGCGTCCTCCTTCATCGAGATGGACCCGAGAATGCCACCGTCCAAGAGATTTTTTAGGAATTCTCAAGATTTCAAATTTGACTTCCCTGTCTCACCGCCTTCTCTCACTTTTGTACATGCCGACCAGCTGATTTCCAATGGTTGCCTTGTGCCTTTTTTCATTGACCCAGTGAAAGTTCAGAAATATGAGGATGAAGATTTCAGTTCAAATTTTCCAAAATCTTCCCATACAGAAAACAACACCCATCAAGCCAATACTTCTGACTGTTCGTCGATGAGAAAGTGTCGGAAACTATCGAAAAAAGTATTGCAGAAGTATTTTAGTTTTTTCAAGCCGTTGTACCAAAGAATCCGAGGCCATGGAGCATCAAGCTCCAAACCGGAACATGTTAGTAGAAGATCCAAATCTATGAAGAATTGGGAATATTCATACGATGCGTCGCCACGAATAAGTGTAGCTTACTCTGCCGATGATTGGCGAAGATCCTGTGATTCTGAGAGCTCAATCTACGAGGCAGTCCTCCATTGCAAGAAATCTATAGGTATGTGAAGCGTGTTACAGTTTGGTCATCATCATTATCATTATAGTATACTAGTATCTTATATCAAACGCGTGTTCGGGTTCTGATGTTTATTCAAACCTTTGGTGTCGACAGGAGGACGAGATTGAGTAATTTCAGACGAAAAATCTGGAGGAAGGTGAAAGCAGAGAAGATGATAAAACAAAAGAGCAATTCAAAATAGAGAAGCATAGAAGAGAAAAATGAGACATGAAATGATAACATCCACTAAGCTTTTTGTCCCTTTCGTCTACTTTTTTTCTTGGATTCAAATGTACCATACCATTTTGTCTGTGATGGAAATTTCAGACCTCACAGAGGAACAGGAAAGGTGACCATAAATTTTGTTTGTCCTCGACTGTTATGTAACAAAAATCCTTTAACAAGGGAACGCTTGTTTCGGTATGACCGTGACCGAGCGAGCAGGTTCCTCGAGGTAAATACTCAAATGCCAATGCCAAATGAAATTGATGAAGATGGATACCATTTTTGTTCTTTACTTTGTTCATATTTCTAATGAATATGAGTATATTGCAGGTTCAGACTGATATGAATATATTTGCCCTTTCTTGACAGTGAACTGATCTAAAAGACTTGGTAGCTATTGAATGAGGTTAGAGGGAAATTGTGGTGGTGGGGTCTCCTAAGTTGCTTTTGTTAAGCAAGGAATCCTTATCAATGTTGTCCTCTTTTCATTTGCACATGAAACCACTCCCAACTTGCTTTTTCATTACATGTTCTTTGTTCACAATAATTGTTGGGTTTTGTTTCTTCAATTCACTATTAGCATTGGACTTGAGCGGTTACAAAGAGATTTCAAGCTGACCCCAACTATGAAGTTTGTGAAGATTTTCCTTTCTTAGTATAGTTATAACAGAGATTTTAGGAAATATCATTTCTATCAATCATTTTTTTTTTAGAGTTCAACAATATCGATGGTGTAACTACGTATCGCCTCATCGATGGTGTAACTACGTATTGCCTCAGCCCAACAATTTTAAAACGCATCTATTAGAGAGAGAGGTTTCCACATCCTTATAAGGAATGTTTTTCGCTCTCTAGTTGTTGACACACTATCTAATGTTTGACTCTGTTACTATTTATAACAGATTGAATCTACCGCTAGCACATTTTGTCCACTTTTGCCCATTACATATTGTCATTAGGTTTTTAAAAGGCGTATTAGGGAGAAGTTTCCACATCCTTTGAACTAAATAGATTTTATTAGATACCATCCTTACCTACTCACTAAGAAATCCAATTTATAAAAACACTCCATATCACATTCTTTATTATATAAGAGCAAAACATAATTTACATAAATTTAATAACTTATAATTATAAACATTTCAAAGCAGACAAAAGTAAATACAACCTTTTCAAAGCAGACAAAAGTAAATACAACCAAAACAGACTCTGAGTATGTAGGATCTCTGGAGTCTTGAGCTCGGCTACACCATCGTCTCGATCACATTACATCATATCTATCGGTTCAAAAGAAGATAATAAATGGTTCATTTAATTAAAATGTTATACAGTAATCCATCAAAATGAATCTCATCAATCGATAAACTGTCCAAAGCTGAGCAAACTGATGGATGACAACAGAAGCAATCATAAGAGTTGGACCAAAAATCTGTATCCCTTGGCTCCAAATTCAAAATCAGATTGCCTTCCAGCTCTGCCTCGTTCATACAAAACAGAATTTTCACTTTTCATCAGCGCAAAGTTTACAAAGGTTTCATGATGTGTTGAGGATTGTTGGGAGTGAGTCCCACATTAGCTAATTTAGGGGATGATCATGGGTTTATAAGTGAGGAATACTATCTCCATTGACATGAGACCTTTTGGAAGCCCAAAGCAAAGACATGAGAGATTATGCTCAAAATGGACAATATCATACTATTGTGGAGAATCGTGATTCCTAACACACGTTTGTGCTACTTCATCTTGCAAACCACAGTTGAAATTTTAGTCTGAAAGAAGTGTTTTTGAACAATACCCACTCTCTTTGCCTAAAAGAGCCAAAACCCCATCTTTTTGGTTATACAGTTTCTGGCTCACATCCTCTCTCAACCACGGAAACTTTAAGACTAGAAGGGCGCTTGGATCGAGGGAAACCAATGTATCTTCGACCGGACGTATGCATACTTTAGCACTTGAAGTTAGCTTTTTGGTGGCAGGCAAACGATTCAGAAAAGTGGTAACTCTTTTAACTTTTCTCGCACAAAGCTAATAAGATTCAATGGAACTATTTGAGATGCATGAATTTTAGTCACATCGCAAGCCACTGAAGCATCCTCAGACCAAACTTTCAGTTTCATCTCTGGGCATAATGATGAACATGGGCTCCATTTATGCTCATGTGTCTGCTGCAAAATTGTAGCTTTCAGTTTTTGTGTGCTTCATATTATAAACAGTCATTCATGAACATTCTTGAATATTTAAGGCTTTTGGTAGGTCATTTGAATACTTTAAATCCATTACCAAACCCGAAAAGGCTGAAAACTCGTTCAGGATGGGCAACCATTTCAGCCATATCCTCAAACAGTCTGTTGTTAGAAACCTTATCTTTTTCTGAATACCAACAAGATTTGCCTAGTCCTTTTCACCTTGTTAATGCACCATTATTGTCTTCGTATTTGGAAACTTCAGAAGTGCCTACTCCATGCAGATAAGCTCTTAAACACCAGAGGATAATTGTGCCTAGAAAGCAAAAATGAGTAGCCATGGAATACTAGGTGAAATCTCACATCGGTTGGAGAGGAGAAAGAAACATTCTTTATACAGGTGTGGAAATCTCTCCCTACCAGACGTGTTTTAAAACTTTGAGGGGAAGCCCATAAGGGAAAGCCAAAGAGGGAAATATCTACTAACGGTGGATTTGGACCGTTACAAATGATATTAGAGCCAATCACTGGACGATGTGCCAATGAGAAGACTGAGCCTCGAAGGGGAGTGGACACGAGGCGGTGTACTAGCAAAGATGCTCGGTGGATTGGGGGATCCCACCTTGATTGGAGAAGGAACGAGTGCCAGCGAGGACACTAGGCCCCGAAGAGGGGTGGATTGTGAAATCTCGTTGGGGAGGAGAAAGAAACATTCTTTATAAGGGTGTAGAAACCTTTCCCTAGCAGACACATTTTAAAACCTTGAGGGGAAGCTCGAAAGGGAAAGTCCAAGGAGAGCAATATCTTCTAGTTGTGGATTTGAATTTTTACAAATGGTATTAGAGCCAGACACCGGATGATGTGCCAGCGAGAAGGCTGAGTCCCAAAGGGGAGTGGACATGAAAGACGTTGGGCCCCGAAGGGGGGTGGATTTGGGGATCTCACATCGATTGAAGAAGAGAACGTGCCAGCGAGGACGCTAGGCCCCAAAGAGAGGTGGATTGTGAAATCCCACATCCGTTGGGGAGGAGAATGAAACATTCTTTATAAGGGTGTGGAAACCTCTTCCTAGTAGACACATTTTAAAACCTTGAGGGGAAGCCCAAAGAGGGCAATATCTACTAGCGGTGGATTTCGACTGTTACAAATGGTATTAGAACCAGACACCGGACGATGTGCCAACAATGAGCTAAGCCCCAAAGGGGAGTGGACACGATGCAATGTGCCAGCAAAGACGCTGGCACCGAAGAGGCGGGGGGGGATGGATTGGGGGATCCCACGATGATTGGAGAGGGAACAAGTGCCAATTAGGATGCTGGCCCTGAAGAGGGATGGATTGTGAAATCTCACATCAGTTGGGGAGGAGAACGAAACATTCTTTATAAGGGTGTAGAAACCTCTCCCTAGTAGACACGTTTTAAAACCTTGAGGGAAAACCCAAAGAGAACAATATCTACTATCGGTGAACTTGGACTCTTCAATACTCTTAGTCTCCGAGAAAAGAAAAAAGAAAAAAGAAAAAAAAAACCCGAGTAGACTAATAAATGGTTCCCACCTCTCCCAGTGTTTCCCAAAAGACCGTTCAAAGAAAACGAGAGACCTGACCAACAATTTGGTATTTAAACAGATCCAATCCTGCTTTTTTCTTAAACAGTGATTGACTTTTAGCTAATGGACTAAAAGTGTTGCCTAAGAATGAGAAGTTTGTCACATGTCTACAGCAGGAAGGAGGAGACATGGACAAAGTATGATAGAATTACCTCTCTGTCTCTTTCTACTAGTTTTTGCCAGCCTTGTTGGATTTTCTGCTTTTCGACCATGGAAGCACAGTGATGGATGGCCTTTATAAGTTTTGTTCTTGTATTGTTTCTGTATTGACATTTTCTGTGGGGACCGAGACTTCCCACATGCAACCTGTCGTTGCGAGTCATCCTTCAGTCACTATAGTTGCTAACAAGACAGACTAGCTAAGCCATAAATATGCATATTTTTGCCAGTTAAGTTGTGGGGTTCCCTTGATAGCGTCCTTAAGCTATGGAGGATTTATGAGACAATGATAACTAAAGGTTAAAACCCATCCTATTGGCATAGCATTGAACACCTTTAGGTATCAATGCAAATCCCTTACCCCAAGGAAAGAAAAATTTAATCCAATTCAAGATCTTTCTGTTCACAAAGCTAAAGCAAGCTCGGATTTTTCCCGGCATGAATGTCAAATAATTGAGCTCTACATCAAGTTGAAGTTCATGGCATGAACGTTACTGTATGCAAATCCTTTGTAGGGAATGAGTTCTAGGAAAGTTAGAAGAAACTGGTCTGTGCTAAAGCCAGTCTCCATGAGTTATGTCTGAGGATTTTCGAAAAATCCTAGGAAGCTTCATTGCACTACTGCAGCAATGATGCTGCTGAACTTTTCAGGTGTAGATAAATTAATCAAACCTTGAATGCCGTGTGATAGCAACCTTGGATCTGTTTTACATCACAAGGAACTGGTGGATGCCACTTTTGTGAATGGCGCCATGTTCAGATTTTGAATCCATTATAAACAAAATGTTCATTTGAGACATTATGCTGAGTAAGCTAATGCAGAATAGAAATTTTGAATTTTCCAATCCTCAGAAACTGATCCCAAGAGTTCTCTTGCTGTTTTTCTTTTCCTTCTCTCAACTTGATGGTAGGGAAATCAAACTAAACATAATTCTTAGTGCGAAAAAAGGGAAGAGTCCATTCTAATTTTTAAGGCACCGTTTGATAATAATTTGTTTTCTTGTGATTTCTTTCAATTCACTAATGGTTCGATCACGAAGTGAAAATTCACTTCTTCCCACTTACCACTTCATATGTTGCAAAACTAGATGATGGAAGTTAAAGATTTCAGCCAAATTTTCAAAAGGTCACCTAATGCAAAATTGCTCCAAGTTCGCTTAACTTCAAGATTCCTATAATTTAGTCACCGAAAAGGAAGGTATCTTGTTAGTACAAATAATATTTCTTAGCAATACTAGCATATTCTAAGGATCTCTCTTTCGATCGTGGTCTCGAACATTTATTGATTTTTTTTTTTTTTTTTTAAGAACTCTAGTACCAGACCACATCAGAAGATTGGACTGGCTCATAATGTTGTGGTTTATGAATTTAATTTGAAACTGAGCATTGAGCAATAACGGAGAGATATGAAGGTAAGCCTAACCAGACAAAAATGCCACATAACCTAATCCTTCTTCTTCTCTTGAAGTGCCCCCATCGGGATTTTACTCAGAACTTCGGCGTTAAATACAGCATACTGCTTCTTGACCTCTATCAAAGCCTTCTCAGCAAATGCGTCAACCTGGTCATCATACTTCTCATATAGCACTGGCACAGTGTGTAGCAATACAACGGCTGTTTTTCAAGCATCAATAAGCACATCAATATATCATTATGTAAGCACCTAAATGCAGGCGATTTGGTAATTTCTCAGTGAAAATTGAAAGAGTAGTCCTTACATGTGTATAACAAGGTCAGAAAATTGCACCAGCTTCCAACCATTGATAGAACCCATAAGCCAATAAAAGCCTATTAATGGTATAAAACATCCTCAGCAGCATTACCAGATTAATAAATGAACCAATTGATGAAAAGCGATGTTTCCTATAGATGATCGAGTCTAGAAATATTTCCTTTACTCATGAGATAGTAACAGTGAACGTACACGGAGGAATTTCTTCAAATCTCTCCCAGAAGCAATGTTACGTAAATTGGAGATTACATGGTTGATTTCGATTCTCAATGCAGAGACAACCTCGAGTAGACGATCTTCAGGAAGTCTAAAATCTGGGATTTGTGGTGGGGACCTATACAAAGAACACAAAAAATATATATATAAAAAGGGGGTGAAACAGGCTATTTATTGCATTAGATTTTGCAAGTCGAAGTCCTTACTTGTTGATAAACGAACTGGCATAAGACCGCGTGAAAACTAGAGCCAGTACAAGAATTAATATATGGCATAGGAGAGTGATTAATTGGTACTCAAGCAGCTCAAAAAGAATCCACAAGGCGGTGGCACCCCCAAGGATGCCTGCAGAGTTCTTCTTGTTCCTCCAAAGAAGAACATCAGCAGCTGCAACCGGAATTAACCATAACTTATAAGAAAAGGTCCCTCACGGATAAAGACAGCAAACCGGTGAGGGGTAAAACAACAGAAATTTGTTTTCTTAGCACACCAATCTCAAGGTCACAAATTCGAACCTCCTACCTCTTGGTCAAGAGCCTATGTCAATACTCATTGGCACAGATTATGAAGCCATAACGCTAATAACCTAAGGTTTTCATCCATAACTCGATTGAAAGAAAAAGAGAATACTCTCCGTTTTAACATTGGACAATCACTCAATCTCTGATGTAAAAAGCGACTCGCCTTTTAGAAAATGCATATGAAAATTTATAGAAATCAGTCATCCTTTATGCGATCCCTTTGGATTTATTTTTCTCTTAGTACCATTTCATTCAATCAATGGAATTGCTTCCTTCAAAAAATAGGGCAAAAAACATTGGACAGTCATCCAATCGAACGAAAAATGGCAAGAACTCGCGCAAGCACATCTCGATTATAACAATGTAGAAAGACAGAAAGGAATTTGATAGGTAAGAATGACAAACAGAGCATGATCCAATACTTATATATCCATAAAATCTTCCATTAACCGATCAATCACGATAAAGACAGAGATAGAGAGAAGGATCAGAGAGTACGTTTTCCACCGCCCAAGACCGTGTGAACGGGCTTATCTCTACCGAAGAGCCTAAAAACGTGGGATTTTACAGCATTGATTTTTGAAGGCTGGTCATCATCAGAGCCGGAGGAAGAGGAAGAATTGTAGCCGTCGATCTTACCGGAGATCTTGTCAGTAACCGAATCCAGCCCGCCTGGTTGGTCAGCCATGGATCCTTTAGGCCAAATTGAAGAACAAAAAATGAAAATGGGAGAAAGAATCGTCTCCAAAGCAGAGACGAGAGACCAGGCATGAGTAGAGAATGCGAAATACGCAGAGAGGGAAATGCAATATGAGCTATTTATAGTTAATGTGCGTGGAGAACTAGACGACCAAAAAACATCAACCTTGAATCTTCAACGTTGATTTAGCGGAATTCCATCCAAGAGGTCAAGAAATAATTTAAAGAACTATACTTTAAATTTAATTTTAAGTTAATGAATATCATTTCAATCAAATCTTATATATTTTAAAAATAAATTAAAAAGTTTTTAAAAAAAAAGTAAATACTATTAAAAATAGTTAACAGCAAAAAGAAAAAAGAACAGATATGGTCTCCCCAATTCAACAATCTGGCAGGCCCAATAGAGAAAGAACCAACCATACTTATCCAGGCCCAATAGGCCCATAGACAAAACTCTGCCCCAAATGTTCAAAGGTCAAACCTTTTGAAGGAAAGAAAAAGAAACAGAACAAAAACCTTGGACTCCACACAACATCAAAAGCAAAGCTAGCAAACGAAGGGAACAAAAGAGAGCCTATGGGTCAAATAACGAGCTCGCCGCTCTTCCCTATTTATTACTCACTTTATCAGATTTCCATTTAGCCATTAAAAGCAAAACTCCCTCTTTCTCAAATACATACGTTGATATCAATAAAATAATAATAATAATAATAATAATAAGAACCTTAATATTATCAAAATGTTTTTTTTTTTTATGATAAAAAATTTAATGGGATATTGTAGTGTTTACAGTCATTTTAAAGTAACTTTATATTTAAAAAAATATAAATAAATTATATTTTAAAGGAATAAGAATTGAAATGGAAATGAAGTAAATATGAGGTTAAAAAAAAAGAAAAAAGAAAATAATTTTTACCTGTTCTTGTTTCATTGTTCATTCATCATCTTAATATTAAGAACCTTAATATTATCAAAATGTTTTTTTTTTTTATGATAAAAAATTTAATGGGATATTGTAGTGTTTACAGTCATTTTAAAGTAACTTTATATTTAAAAAAATATAAATAAATTATATTTTAAAGGAATAAGAATTGAAATGGAAATGAAGTAAATATGAGGTTAAAAAAAAAGAAAAAAGAAAATAATTTTTACCTGTTCTTGTTTCATTGTTCATTCATCATCTCAAAGTTCACAATTTATTTTGTAGGCTTTTTTTTCACTTTTGTCTCTCATCTTTTTGGAAGTTTCTCTTTACCAGCTCTCTCAACGCTTTAGTTTTCAAAGGCATCCCTTTAGCCCTATACCAACAACCATACAACTCCAACTTTTTCTCTTTATTTATTTATTTATATATTTTTCTTTTTATTATTATTCCTCTTTGCTTTCTCCTCATTCCCTTTCCTTTAAATGCTCTTTTTCTTTTTCTTTTTCTTTTTCTTTTTTCTCCCTCTTTTTCACCACCTTCAAATACCATGCCCACATGAACACCTCTTTTTTCACTACCTTTGAATATTATACTTTCACAAATGAAAAAAAAAAAAAAAGAAACAAAAGGAAAAGGCTCTATGTAAATAAATAAAACTTTGTTCTACTTTTGCATTACTTAGTTAAGTTTTTGAGAAAAAGAACATTTAGATATTATTTTTTATTTTTAGTTTTTAGTTTTAAATTAAACAACATTTATTATTTACTATTTACTCACGTTTTAAAAAAATAAGTAAAATTTTTTAAACAATTTTTTTTTTAATTTTTAAAATCCGAGTAGAAATTTATTTGTTGAAGAATCGGAAGAAAATAAATATAAAGTAAAAAAAATATTTATAGGCAGAGACTGGAGACATGTTGTGTAAATTTACACATCAAAAAAATAATAATAAAAAGTAGAAGGTTCTGTCGAGTCAAGAGGGGCAGGGTGGCTGGCGAGGAACCGAAATTCAATATGAGTTGCCGAGAGGTCAGAAGTAGAGGGCCAAACCGTACAGAAATTTTAGCGCCTCTCTCTCTCTCTCCCCACTCAATTTTATTTTTAGAAGAATTTTTAATGCAATTTTAAAATATTAAGAGAGACCAGAAATGGATAATTTCGATATTTTATTTTATTTTGTAAACAAAGTTATAAACTACATCAAATCTATATCCACTATTAAAAAGACATAAATTTTAAATCCACCGACCTTCTAATATATTTAAAAGTTATAAATGGTAAATCTCGCATGAATTTTTAAAAAAAAATTTAGTTTCGGTTTAATATTGGACGTAAAATTCATAGCCAAACTGTGATGCCTCTGCCAATAATTTTTTTCAAATAAATGTAATATTTTGATTTAAAAAGAAATACGAAATAATTGTATGACAATTAAATAAATAGAAGAAAATGAATTTTATTGGGAAAAAGAACGAGTTATTTTCAAAGTCTGGCACGTGTTCGCCGGCCTTTCTCCTCCACACGCGGCAGTTCTATAAAACCCTTCAAACCCCCAGCACTCTTATCTGTCTTTCTCCTAATCCCCTCTCCGCCATGGAAGCTCTCGACTTCGTTAAGCTCCATAATCTCTATGCCCATTTTTCCTCCATTGTTGAAACTGCATATAATCTGAATCGTTCTCATTTTCATGGCGACAATCACGATGAAGATTCATTCTTCGATTTGGATTTCGTCTCTCTTCCAACATCAGAAACCGGCAAATCTCCCGACGAGAAGAATCTCACACGCTCCAGCGAAAACGAACTCTGTTTCACTCAACGGAATCTTCTTCTCTCCCAATCTGATCTCATCTCCAAACGAAAAATCCTTCCGATTGAACTCAGTTCGAAGCCAGAGTCTCCTGTTTCAGTTTCGGTTCTAAAATCGGCACCTAGACTCTCAATTTCCTTGTTCAAGAAGCCGAAATTAATGGCGAAACAAAAGACGGACGAAACAGAGCCGTCGTCACTCAAATTACAGAGCACAGAGAGCAAACGATTCGCCTTCAAACTGAACAGACTTAACAGTTCCAGAAACAATAATCGAATTGATGCATCTGAGCGTCAATCGAAGAGATTCTCCGGAGAAGGAATACAGAAGTATCTGAAATTAATCAAGCCTCTGTACGTGAAAGTTTCGAGGAAACAAAACTACAGATCGTCGCCGGTATCTTCACCGGTGACATCAATTGATGAGAAGCAGAGGAATATTGCGATAGGCATTCGAGTGGTTTGTAGGCGTCTAGGGAGGAGTAAATCATCATCATCGGCGACTGGAATGGCCGTATCGCCAACAAATCGGCGAGACGATTCGCTTTTGCAGCAAGACGACGGGATTGAGAGCGCCATTTTGCACTGCAAGAGGTCTTTCAGCGCTAGCAGAGGCAAGATCCAAAAGCAAAAAACTCGAACGTGTTTTATTTCTTTAATGCCTTAATTTGATATGAAAAATTTGTAGCATCTAACAATCATTTCAATCTAAATTTCAGATGATGTTGATGGAACTTGTGACGATAACCTGTCCGGGACTGGCGATTTGCAGAAGCAGAAGACGGGAACAGATGCTTTCTCAGAAGCCAAACAAGGCTAACAGCGTTGAAGAGAGAGAGAGATTGTGTGTGTGAAAGTTTTTCGGGTTTAGCTGTAAAAAGATGAAAAAATCTTAGAATACACTATCAGTTGTCATGAGGTTTTTGAGAAGCAGAAACTGAAAGCAAAGCCACGAGAGCTTATCATACCATTGTGGTGTGCGAAAGTTTTTCGGGTTTAGCCATAAAAAGATGAAAAAATCAAACTGAATTAGACAGTGCATGACAGTTTTCGTTTTTTCTTTTCTTAGAAAACGATAAACAGTGACTCGGTGAGTCTTGTAGTGGCTGACTCGCTCCGTCGTGTATTTACTAAATAATATTTAAAATTCATGATTTCTATTTTCCTTTATGTTCCTTATATTCCTTTGTTTTTACCAAGTAGTTAAAGTTTTACCGTCGGATTAAAAGTTAATAGTTATTGGTAAAAATCATAGCTAAAATACTTAATATTTAAAAAAAGAAATAGCATGGGGAAGAAAAAAGAAAATTAGTTGGTCAAAAAATGAAATGATTTGTGACATTTATTGTTATATGGATAATCTTTTGGACTTTTGTGCACAAATGTAATAATTAAGGAGGTCAAAATAGGAGGAATCTTTATATATTAATTTACTATTGGGGTTTTCCTTTTTGAAAAACGCACACCTATTCTATTCGTCTAGCCCTCTTCATTTTCCTTCCTCCTTCTTTAAAAGTAAAGTTCTGAAACTTTTACAGACCTTTCGTCAACTTTCGCTAATACCTCAACTTATGAAAAGAATAAAAATCACATTAAAAAAATAAAATCACCAGACTTATAATATAATTCGAATAAAAATTAAACTAACCAAAATATTCCCTCGTTAAATGGGTTAAATTTTACATGGATTTGACGAGGAGACAGTAAATTATAAAGGGTAAGTTTTAAATTTTGGAAAAAATAATAATTGTTTAAGAAAAAAGGAGGGACCTTACCAAATCGGAAGGCCGTTGGATAAATTCAACAAGAAAGAAGCTTTTTTTATTTCAGTTTGGAAACATGTATTCAGAATTTTACTTCAGTTTGGGACATCAAAAGCAGCATTTTTACTTGCTTTTATTCAACAAAAGGCCTGGCTAATTAGTTCAAAGTGAAAAAGCATATAAATGCTTTCTGTCTCTCCATTCAACCCTTTGCATTCTTTCTTTGGTTTAATTACTATGAATTTGAAAGATATGGAATCGAATCAAATTTCCAACTTTATTATTTTTTTACAGGCTTGCCTAATTGAATTCGTTTAATCTTGGGAAATTTCAAATATTATATTTTTTTTAGTTAAGTTGTTTCAATGGGTCATAGATCCACCATGTCTTTGACGGCCCACGACTACCCAATTCTTGTACGTGGCCCAATAGCGTTATTTTTATTTAATCAAACTCTACACTCCACACAGATAGAGGAAAGTTAGTACATAGTTTTGAGTATCCATAAGAAATAAATATAAATATCTGAGGGTTATACTTACAAGTTGTATGTCACGTGGGATTAATTGGAGATATCCCATTATTCCCACGTAGGATTGGATAAATAGAACTGTTTTTTTTTTTTTTTTTTTTTAATATTATTAAAATGCTAAGTAGGCAAAAGAGTTTTGTCTTTTGTGGTGCAACAAGTGCGTTTTAAATGTATAAAACGACGACGTCCAAAAAAAGAAAATGGAGGGAGGTGTCACGGGCTGGCTGGCCCCTTCTGAATATTCCCTTTATTTAATTCTAAGAAATTGCAGCATTCCCCCATTTCGCTTCTTCCAAAGTCGAGACTGACCCAGAGAAACACACAATCTGTGAGGAGGCTACAGTCAGCTCGTGAACTTTGATGACTCACAAAGGCTGGTTTTGGTCCTAGGATGCGTGGGCTTCCATTTTTAATTCCTCATGTGACAAACTTTTACTATTATTATTATTATTATTTATTTATTTTGTAATAAGAGGCTGAGTCCATTATTACACCATCCGTATAATGTAAATTTCAAGAGAAAATGGACTGTCCACTTGGAAATCACATTCTCAAGCCATCTGCATGGTTCCAACAACTGTTATATGATCTCATAAATATATTATTATATGCTCTTAAAATATGCATTCAATTATCCCTCCATCTTAAATTTTTATTTTCATCAATATATTTTCAGATTTACATATCATTTTGATTTATTATTATAAATTTCAGCAAATTCTGCTATATTCAAATTATTGGCTAATTTCTCTTTAATTAATTTAGTTATTTTTATTTAACATCTCCTATTTATATTTCAATAAATAATTGAATCTTGTCCCAAGGCTCCTCTTCATGGCATTGCCAAGTGCCCATTCTGACTTTTGACTTCATTAAAGATAATAAATATTTAAAAAGAAAAAAAAGAAAAAGAAAAAGGCATGCAATATTTGAGAGCCACAAGTCTTGCTTCACTTTCTCAGGTACGTAATGTCAATTCACTGTCAACAAGTTCGAAAATGAAATTCAGCCTCTAGATAGAATTAAATCATTATAAATAAAATTCATGGATCATTTTTATTTTCGATATACAAAATATATCATACTGAAATTTCTTATTTAAATAATTTCATAAAGAATATTTTAAAATTTTAACAATTATTTTTTTTTTCTTATCACATCTATCATAAACACAATAATTGAACGAGATATAAGCTTTTATTTGACAATTTTTTTGAGGATCTAATTGGGAAGTTAAAAATACATCAGGGGTAAAACCGAGAATTTGAAGGCGAAAAACTAAATTATTTTCAAATGAATAAAATGTTTATTCAATTGTTCATAATTTGTTCCTTACGCTATTTCATTTAACTTCTCCTCCAAATCTCCGTCTCTATCTCTCTCACTTCTCTCGCCGTCAGAAAGATTTCTCTCCAATGGAAGAAGACCAACCACGGCCACAGCCGCCGCCGTCGCCGCCGACGAGAAGCTACACATTAACGGCATCGTCAATCTCCTACGCCAAATCCACGGCCGCTGCCACCGTGTCGTCATACAGCTGGTTCAAATCCTGCACCGCCGCCGAACCCACCTACATTATCCGTGACATCTCATTCACAGCCCACCCTTCTCAAATCCTCGCCATCGTTGGCCCAAGTGGCGCCGGAAAATCAACTCTCCTAGACATTCTCGCAGCCCGAACCTCGCCAACGCACGGCGTCCTCCTCCTCAACTCCGCCCCTCTCAACCCGTCTACCTTCCGTAAACTCTCCGCTTACGTTCCACAGCACGACGCCTGTCTACCTCTCTTAACCGTCTCCGAGACCTTCGCCTTTGCCGCCCGCCTCCTCCTCCCAGAAAAATCCCAAATTCTCACCACCGTCAACTCCCTTTTGGCAGACCTCAACCTCACCCACGTCGCCAACACCCGCCTCGTCTCTGGCCTGTCAGGCGGAGAACGGCGGCGAGTCTCAATCGGACTCAGCCTCCTCCACGATCCAGCCATTCTACTCCTGGACGAACCCACCTCCGGCCTCGACAGTGCATCAGCCTTTAACGTGATCTCAACGCTTAAATCCATCTGCGTTTCGCGAAATCGGACGGTGGTGCTTTCAATTCACCAGCCGAGTTATCGAATTTTGTCGGCTATCGATGAGATTCTCTTGCTCTGTGAAGGGTCCGTGATTCACCATGGGACTGTTTCTAGCCTCGAGAGTTTTTTGGTTTCCAAGGAATTTTGTATTCCTCCACAGCTTAATCCTTTGGAATTTGCTATGGAAATTCTGAACCAGCTCACGCCTTATTCTACTTCAGATTCTTCGCCCGTCGTTGCTAATGACGTCATTACAGGCCCAAATTATAAAGATAATCAAATCAAATATAGAAGCTCGAGATTGCATGAAATCTTGACCCTCCATTGGCGATTTTGGATCATCATTTTTAGAACCAGGCAGCTGCTTTTGACCAACACCTTGGAGGCGCTCATCGTTGGAATTGTTTTAGGTAATCCCTCTTAACAAAATTATAATATTAATAAATGTTTTAATTACGGTGAATTAATTTTGATGAAAAAATATTATTATTGTGTAATTGTAAATAGGTACAATTTACTTAAACATCGGAATGGACAAGGCAGGCATAGAGAAAAGATTCGGTCTTTTCGCGTTCACACTAACATTCCTACTCTCTTCCACAACCGAAACTCTCCCCATTTTCCTCAACGAACGCCCAATTCTCCTCCGTGAAACCTCCGGCGGCGTCTACCGTCTCTCCTCCTACATAATCGCCAACACCCTCGTTTTCCTTCCCTATCTCCTCACCATCGCCGTCATCTACTCTGTCTCCGTCTACTTCCTCGTCGGGCTATGCGCCACGTGGCAGGCCTTCTCCTACTTCGTCCTCGTGATTTGGGTCATCATTCTGATGGCCAATTCGTTTGTCTTGTTCTTGAGCTCCCTCGCTCCGAATTTCATCGCCGGGACGTCACTGGTTACCGTTCTCCTCGCCGCGTTTTTCCTTTTCTCCGGCTACTTTATATCCCAGGAGAGCTTGCCCAAGTTCTGGGTGTTTATGAACTTCATGTCCATGTACAAGTACGCTCTGGACGCCTTGCTTATAAACGAATATTCCTGCTTGGTCTCCAGATGCTTCATTTGGTTTGAGGAGGATCGAAAGGAGTGTTTGGTTACGGGTGGAGATGTGTTGGTGAAGAGAGGGCTTGATGAGAATCAACGGTGGAGGAATGTTTATGCTTTGGTCGCGTTTTTTGTGTTTTATCGCCTTCTTTGCTTGCTTGTTTTGATTCGAAGGGTTTCCACATCTAAGAAATAATAATGATAATAATAATAACTATTTAGTATTATTATTATTATTATTATTGTGAACTTATTAAAGGGTATATTTGGAAAAACTCTCTCTTAATTACTATTTGCATATGTCGGAAATTGTATATTATTTTTTCTTTTGGAAATTATAGAGAACTTTTTCTTTTCGTTTTTATTTTAGATTTCTTATTTAAAAGTATTAACTTAAATTATGAAAATGATTTAAAAACATAATATGTTCTGATAACTCCTAACCTTCAAATAATTAATTAATGATTAAAGAATAAAATGAGTGAATGATAAGTTAAAAGCAAATTAAGAAGTATTATCTTTCATAATTAAAATTTGTCAATTATTTGGCCTTTGCAAAGAATAAAACTATTATAAATAAGGTGAGGGTTCAATCAGATGGGCCAAAATGTCCAAAATACCCTGCATGCAAAAACTTTCTACAATTATTATAGGATTTGAATTTTCTTTCAACGACAAATTCTTTTTTCTTTATGGAAACGTCAAAATCATTCAAAAAAGATATGGTCTCAAATTGGCTTCCATGAAATGCTTAATA